CCCCGCCGTGGAATAAGTCCACGCGGCCCGGGAAACCGGGACCTTTGGTTTCCCAGGGTCCCTCTCCGGGAGGCATGGGATTCAGCACAGATTTTTCTGTGGGTCCCTATCGCCTCCCCCACGGCTATCAGACAGGCATCCGCCCTCCCCCGACGGCACGGAGTCCTGCCCTTTAGCCGCGACTCCATCAGAGACACCCAGTATGCAATGGGCAGTCGTTTATGAAAACCGACCACTCAATGGGCAAGCCTGATGGTGAATGTCTGGGTGCAATGTGGGCATGCCCACTCCAGACATTCGCGGCCCTAACACGGCATGGGCTCAATGGCTGACGCCAGAGCCCGCCTGCAGCCATAGGCTGCGTCGCCTCTTTGGCCCGTGGGACCCCGAAGAGAAGCCCCCCCCCCCAGAAGCCCACGGACCATGGTGGACGACCACCACTCCTCGCAAAGCGAGAGAGCAGTCCTCTCTCTAACGGTGCCGTGCCACCGGGATTTGTAGTCGGAGTTTCCTTCTCCTACCGGCGTAGTGATTCCCCATCCTGTAAGGGATGGTTCCTCTAGACCCTCCATACTCCAAGGAGTACAGAGGGTCCTTGGGACGCCGGACCCTAGCGTACAGAGTCCCTCTATTTAACGAGGGACTCCGTACTGTGGAGTGTTGGCACCCGGGACTCTCATACAGAGCCCCGGGTGAGCCCCCGTGCCACGACAAGGCCCTCCACGCACGGGGGACGCTACCTTAACTAACTTGTCCTATCTCAACCTAACTTAACCTATGCAAACTATTCTCTCTCTCTCTCTCTCTCTCTCTCTCTCCCTCTCTCCCTCTCCCTCCCTCTCTCTCTCTCTCTCTCTCTCTCTCCAACTCCTATATCCCTCCCACATATGTTCTCATGTTTCCATTCCAATCCCACACAACCTGCAATTACTTTCCTCTTCTCCCTCCCAATATCTCCCTTCCCTCACCTCATTACCCAGTTTAAATCTCGCCACCCTTCTCCATCTCCCCTCCCCCAACCCTTTCTTAAATACGGCGGAACTCTCTCCCCTTTTACACATCCATACCACCTATTAAATTTCATTACCCTTATTTTCTCCCACCTTTCTACTCTCTGAATTTCTCTATGCCTTTCCTGTAACTCATCCGATCCCATCTCTCCCTCCCCCTCACCCCTTTGCCAACTCACTAATTCCACCCCCCTGTCTTCAAAAAATTGCCTCCTTTCCCTCTCCTTCCTCTCTAACACATTTGCCCCTCCTTATATTCCCTCTCACCTCTACCAACATAACTGCGCCAACATAACTCTCTGCCCCCCCCTCCCTTAATCTCTCCTCAAATGCCCACGCCCTTTTTCCCGCTCTCACCCTTAACTTTTCTCTTTGTAATTCCTCCCTTACCATATATCCCGGTGTCCTCTCTACCTCCAACATCCACCTTTCCTGAAGTCTCTCCACTTCCTCCCTCTCCTTCTATCCCCATATTTCCGTCCCGTAACTCACCCAAATCAACTTGTCAAATATCCATACTCTCCTCTTTCAATCTTTCCCAAACCTCCCTTTTCCTTTTCCCACACCTGTCCCATTATTGCCATTGCCTTCGCCACTCTTTCCTTAACATGTTCCTCCTGCCCTCCATTCCCCTACATCGTATAACCCAAATATTAGGTGTTAAACTTAATTCCTGCCGTTTTTCGTGTCCAAAATTGATTTGTTTCGAAAGGAAGATGAATGAATACCTTAATCAAAGTAATTTCCTCCATTTTATACTTTATTACTAATCAATAATACTTTATTAATAATACTTTGATTAAGGTATTTCCCTTCGAAACAAATCAATTTTGGAGACGAAAAACGGCATGAATTAAGTTTAACACCTACTTGAATTTCTTCACTTCTATTACCTTCCCCTTCTTTCTTCAATCCACTTTATTACTTCTTTCCCCCCCTTCCTAAACCTCACTATTTTTGTCTTCTCCCTATTCACCTCCAATCCCTTTCTTTTCACATACCCCTCTAACCTCTCTATCATACTCTTCATACTTCCTTCATCCTCCACCAACAGCACCACATCATTTGCATATGCTAACACAAAAATTTTCTTATCCGCTATCTTCACCCCCCTCCCCCCATTTTACCTTTCCCATTTCTTCTTCCATATCCGCCGTCATAATATTAAATAACAAATGGCTCAGAGGACATCCCTGCCTTACCCCCCTCGCAAAAACTTTCCCCCAATTCCCCCCTACTCACACCTTATTTTTGTTTCCCCCATTATCTCTTCTACCCTTTCTATCAACCCTTTCCTTATCCCCCCCCCTCTGTCTCATCACGTCCAACAATATCCCCCTATCCACCGAATCAAACGCCGCTTTTAAATCAACGAATAAAGCAATTAATTTTCTCCCTTTTTTCTTTACCTGCCTATTAACCAAATAATTCATAATATAAATATTGTCCATTTTCCCCAACCCCTTCCTGAAGTCCGTTTGATTCAGTGGAATTAACCCCGTCCCCTCTACTTCCTCCCTTAGTCTTTCCGCTAGCATCGCCGTATACACTTTATACAACGTCGGTATTATTGAAACCCCTCTATAATCCTTTACCTCTTTCCCTTGACCCATTTTCCTTACTGGAACCACCACTCCTTCCTTCAATTCCTCTGGCCATCCCCCCCTTTCCACATCTTATTACATGCCTTCCACTCCCAATCCTCCATTATCTTCTCCTCCCATACTTCTATAC